CATGCACACAACTAACCACAGGGAAATAGGAGTGAACTTGAGAGATGTATGGATGCCCTGCACGTGTACATACTCATGGATGCAGCGGCATGCAAAAACACCTCCTTCACATACTGCTATGGCATGGCACGTATACGCTGTGTCTGATGCTTGTCGGTGGGTTTTGCTCCTCAGACTGGCTTGAGAAAAACAAAACCAAAGCTTCCAGGCATTTCCCTGTCGTAAGTGGCACTGCTGAATTACTTACACTTTCAAGAAGTCATCACACCAGTTTTCACTTGAAGAAACAACAATGAAGGGATTTCTTAGTGAAAAACAAGTGCTTTAAATGAAGTGTTTTAATGAAGAACCTGCAGAGAAATTCCCATCTTTTCTAGATGGACCGCCAGTTGAGCTGTAAGAGTAGCATCAATTTGCCTTGATACGTCAAGCAAGGTCTGAATTAATTTTCCTACAGATCCCCAGTGGAAAGCTCTCATTCCTTTAGTTAACATAGTCTTGGCACAACTCAGCACGGAGTGCTCAAACCTTGTCCAGCAGTTAGTGCTGCAATTTGCAGTGAGAAGACACCAACATTGAAGTGGGATTTTGCTTTCCCTGGACTTCATTCCCAGCCCATGCATGGGAAATCTCCTTGTCTGCACTACAAATACTCTCTCCTGTCTCTCAGGGAGGCAGCTTGATTTGTCTCCCACTGGACATATAAGAGCATTGGCGCCATACAAATCAAGCCCACCTTCCCTTCCTCAACAAACACCCACAGCAGCATCTCCAAGAGTAAGAGAGGCACAAACCTTTGAGCCTTTCCTAGGGAAACCATCCTCGCTTCCTGGGATGAGCAGGGATTTCCTTGTTGAGAATCGTATCTATATAATGTTAGTGTTGTTAACTGCTAACAACCTTGACTTCCAAGAATTTGTGGAGTCCTACATTTGATATGTTTTCTTCTCTACAGTAACCTGTACTTCATTTAAATGCATTCTCTCTACAAAAATGTTTTAAAACCCCCCCCTGCATCCATTGCTGGATATTGTCTAACCAGACTCCTGTTCTCTGTTGCAAGAAACAGATCAGAGCTTCTGAATTTCCCTTTCGTTTACTCCAGCTATTACAATGAGTTCTAATGGTATCTCACCTCCATGACTGGGGATGTTAGATGATTTTTCCTATGAAAACAACTTCATATCCTTGATTATCTTATTATCTTTCTCCACATATTCAATATTTCAGAAGTAAGTTCATTTTTCCTGAAGACAAGGAGAACCTGAACTGAAATGCAATGTTCCAGATGTGTGTTCAAGAAAGATTTTATTCAGTGGTTTATCATGCCACTACACCATGCTGTTTGATTATTTCCCTCCTAATAATTTCTGGTGTTTGTCATTGAAGAGCTTCACACTGTGCCTCCAAGATGTTTTTTCCATTTGATTACAGCCAATTTAGAGAATATCCTCATGTTCAGATGTGCCATCTGCAGTACTTTGTAATTACTCACACCAAATCCAACCTTCTTTATATCATCATCTGCCAACTTAGAAATGTGAGAACCTTCTGTATTTCTTCACAGTTAGCTGTAGGCTGGACTGCCCTCCATAACTGTTTATAACCCACAAATGTTATTGGTTCACTATCAACTCCCTTCTCCACATCACCCAGGAAAAAACTGTGCAGCATTGCTCCCATTTGGATTTCTGTTGGATACCTCAGAAATTTCAGTAACCATTCTCCTTCAAGTCAACAGATGATTTCTTCTTATTTTTGTTTCTTTTAACCAGTGACTAATGGATAGGTGAGTTTTTTCCCTTCTCAAATGCTAGCCTGGTTTCTTTCAAAACCTTTGCCCTATCTATTCATTAATACCCATTAACTCTTGGCTCTTGCTAAAGGTGGACTCCTCTTTATAACTTGCTTAGGAAAAAAATGTTTCCATTTATTTTGCCGATACTATGGCTTTACATGTAACCCCACCAGAATTTATATCCTCCTATATGTTCCTCCTTTGGATTTCCCTCCTAAAGTTTAAAGATTGCTTTTAAAACAGATCTCATTTATTCTTGTTTAGCTTGTTTAACCGGCTTAGCTCTTTTTCCAGGTGTGGAAGTAGAGTGACATCCTTTTAAAAATTTATTTAGATTCACTCCAAGATGCCACTGCACATCTAAACATGCTGCAAGACTCCATGACACCTTTAAGTGTTTAAGCCTCCAGCTGTTCCTTTTACTTTCCTTTTTTTGCTTTCTAATGCTTATGATTTTCCCCTTTCAAGATGAAAAGAAATGTGGTAGATTTTCTGCCCAGCATCTATTTGGTAAACAAAAATTCTATTATCTTCTTTTCTTCCTGGGAAGACCAGAACATGGATCACCGTATTTTTTGTTCATACTCAACCCCTGAAGTTTATGGCAATTGCAGTGCAAAATCTTGCTACCAAAGACTTAGGAATATAATGTACACTGACAGTGAAAATATCTGTACCTAATAGTGTACCAAACTGAGAATAAAAGAAACACATAAAGCCTGAGTCTTAATACACACAGACCAAATGCACTGCCACAGATCTAACCCACAGAACATAACACTACAAAATTAGCAGAGAAAAATCACCATTAGTTTTAAGAAAAAAAATAATGTTGAGAGAGTTATCCTTTACCATTTAGAAAAAAAAATATGGATGTTTTCTGTAAGATAATCAGGGTAGAGAAATTAATCACATTTAAGCTATTAAGCCCTAGCTCTACTTTTCATGAAGCATCTTAATATAAAAAAAATAAAAAAATCACTGTGTTATGTATTATCTTCTTATTTTCCATCATATGCTATGAGTATCCTGTGAAAAAGAAAATATCCATTTCCTCTTATCTGTATTTACATGCTAAGGTATCACAGATAAAAATACACCAAATCACCCATTTCTCAGCAAAACTGCTTTTGTAAAGGAAGTAACTCCTTGAAGTGTTTAATTTTTAGCAAAGTCTAAAAGTTTGTGCCATTAACTTCAAAGGGAAGCACATAGGCTTTTCTAGAGTCAGTAGTTTTGGAAAGGAAGGTGTGAAGCATACACAGTAAAAACAAGCATCTTCTTATCCTCTTGGAACCATCACTCCAAAGCATTTGTACAGAGTAATGCTTAACTTGGTTTAAATTTGTTTGGGTCACAATTTAAAGTAGGAAAGCCAGAAGTTCATCTGGGGAAAACTATACTAGAGCCTGTCTCATGGATCAAGTAATAAAGAAAAAAACCGTAAAGAAAACTTATTTATATTTTTCTTAGTTTTGGGAAGAGGGGATATTTTTGAAAATGCTGCTTGAAATTAAATCCTTAAAACCTGCCAATTGTTTTTAAAGTGTTTTAAGACTGGCCAGAAATTCTTAAATGTTATTTGGACAAAATAATTTTGTCCAAATTTTGTGGAGAAATTCCTTCATTCAGCTGTGAATAAACAACACCAAATTTTTGATTGTTACTACCTTTAGCTTGGACTAATCTTTTAGCTAGTTCCCCCCTGCTTTTTCCCACAGTAGCATATTAGCTGGGAGCCTAAACATTGCTTGGGGAACACAGTGATAGAGATGAGACCAATTTTACTCTGAAGGAAATTTTAGAGAAATTAGGGGAATTACATCAGGAAGTAATTTTGCCCAGCCTACACAGAGACACTACATGTCCTGATCAATAGAGTTTGTTATATTGCCAGTACAGTGAAACATTTTATCTGCTCTCTTCAGACTTACATGTGTATTTAGTCCCACTGCTTTTGGGTCCTGCAGGAGGCCACACAGAGCTTGGGGGGCTGGGGTAGACAGTCAGACAGCTTGGAAACAGGAAAGCGTAAAATGCTAACTAAGCATGTAATAATGTAATGTGTAATCAACAAGCGCCTCTCCTTAGAAATTAAAATTTTTACTTAAGGAAGTTGGTGGCAGGGACAGAAATATCAGACAGTGGATATTTTATGGACAGACTGCATCTTTTACAAGCATTAACATTCTCTTAATTTGCCAAAAACTGCTCATGAAGATATGCAAACAGCTAACTAGGTCACAAGGACTCACCCTACAAAGATGACAAAAAAGTGCAAAGATGTCATAAAAAGTTGACTCTATGTCCATTTAAAACATTTTTTTCCTTTTTTTTCCTGTTCTCTCACTTGCTTTGAAACAAATTTTAGCTATTATTTTAACAGTGCTCTGAATAATCTAAGATAAACAAGCTTCTGCCCTCGTAACAGAACCGTAACAGAAATAATGGATAAAATAATGGGAGAGATTACTCTGGCAGGGTTTTAAGCTGACCTTTAACACTTATTCTTGCAAAGCAGTGTTTTATATATTTTTTAATCCATGCTTCTGTAATACATATTCCAACGTCAGTTAGACTGGATCTATAGGGATCCAGAGACAAGCATCATTTTATTATGCTAATAAAGGACAAGAAGAATACATCCTTGTGGATTTGATCCCTTTGAAAATTTTATCTATGAAAAGAGAAAAACACTGTGTTTTTAAAGACAGGAGAGATTTAAAATATTCATTTCATATGCAAGGCTGAGTTTAACTGCAGGTGGACTTTTTATTTTTCCAAACATTTAGCCACAAAATCATATTAAAAAATACATATATCCTAACACACAATAGAATATGCCTAGCCTATATATTCATTTATTTCTTTCAGTTTTTTAAAAGGCTGCTCACTAAAAAATAGAAGTCACATTTACTTATGAACAAATATACAGCTTAAACCCACCACATTTTTTTTTTCTTTTTTAGATTATCACTAGTGGAATTCTAGTTTGACCAGCATACTAAGCTTGCTGTTGCCTTCTCCTGTACTCCCCAGGGCTGAGGTCACCTGCCTGAAGCTCATACAAGGCAGTAAGTGGGTTTAAGATGAAAACTACCACATGCCCCTGGCTTACCTCTCTTCGACATCCTGAGGTGCAGCTCCTCCAGGTCGCCTGCTCCCCAGCACTGCCAAAATGCCCTCCAAGAGGTTAAGCAAGCATCAGTCCCTTACACTCAGAGCCAGGGCACTCCGCTCTGCCCACACCGTGCCACTTTCCCACTGTGGCAGGCAGCCCACAAAACGGGCTACCATTCACCAGCTGCTCACCTTGCACCCATGGGTGAGACATGCCCTTTGGGGACTTTCCAGTCCTGGACCCCTCACAGCCCACTTCATCAGCGCTCCTCTCTTCTACCTAACGAGTACTGAACCAGCCAAGAGTGCTCAGGGACTGGACAGGTTTCTGATCAATAAATTACTCTGCTTTACATGGTTCAAATTTAAGCTTTTATTTGGTTTTTAAATTAAAAAAATAAATTTCGTTATTAAATAGTGGAATGGGTCTAAACTAATGTTTACATATTAGTTCACTTGCTTTAGGATACCACCAGAGAAATAATTGAAGTTTACCACCCAGACAAAACTTTCTGTTAGAAAGCTCAGCAGTGGCATTATTCAGTTAAACAAAAAAAAAAGCCCCAAAAGTCTTAATGTTTACAATGAACGTTAGAAGTAAACCTCTGGTTTCAGCATCATCCAGCTCTAGCTTCCATCACAAAGGCAGTCATTGTATTCAGAATACTATACCACAGTGCTAATGTCATCGGCTTCATCTGGTTTCTTTTGCCTGCTTGGCAGGGATTTCAAGTACTCAAGGTGCCTCCTTGCGTCCTCCTGGTTCTGTCGGACGTAATAAACCACGTAGGAGATCACCATGGTGAACCAGCCAAACATGGTGACCAGCATGGCGTAGTCAGTAGTCTTTTTAGGGAGGTTGCAGAGGTCAGCATCGTTGGCAGCGTTGAGGAAGGGTCTCCCGGCGTGCTCGTCCAGCACAGAGGTCTTGCAGATGACATTGTTGGCCGTCTCGTGGTTGGAGGCCATGCTCCGCAGCACCTGCTGCAGCGTGCAGTCACAGTGCCAGGGGTTGTTGGCAATTCTGGCCCTGGCCTTCAGGTTGTTGAAAGCGTTTTTGTGCACGCTTTTAATCCGGTTGTCGGACAAATCCAGAGTCTGCAAGGTTTCTGCCACCCCTTTGAAGGCATGTTCATCTATAAACTCAATCCCGTTTTTTGATAAATTGAGGACTCTCAATTGGTGCAAGTCCTTAAAAATTTCGTTGGGGATAGATGTTATCTGATTGGAGTCCAAATAAAGTAAGACTGTTTCTGGAGGAAGATCTCTGGGTATTTCCTTGAGGTTTGCGTTGCTACAGCTGACGTTCAGACCTCCAGAGTGGGAACAGAGGCAGCCTTTTGGGCACATACTGGCAGAATGAAAGCACAGTATCATGAGGACAAAACTTTGTAAGAGCAGACACATGGAGAGGGAACGAGTTAACCACAGGTCTACCAAATGCATGCTGGGCTGTCAGCATAATCACGCAACCATTTCTCATTCAGCCAACAGGGTGGGAAAAGGATCGGCAAAGCTGAAACGTGGCTTCATTTTCTTCGGCAGGACTAGTAAAAACTGGTTAGTAACACGTGGGCTTCCTCATGGTCAATACGCTTCTTAGAAGCATGCCTACAGAGAAGAAGGAAAAAAAGTTCTTTATACCATAAATTCCAATCCTAACTATATTTTCATTAAAAAATAGAAATAAAAAGATGTTAAAGTGAAATGCCACACTAAATAAATGATCTATTATCTTAGGTAACTCCTATTAGCATTAATCTGAGTTTAGCGCATAAATCCCCAGGACATTTTTAAGAGGACAGACTACACTTACTACAAATTGCATGAGTTTGGTCTTTAATACTTACTAGAGAAGGCATTGGTTTGCTTTTATCACAGATTCTTCTAAAACACCTATAAAACTAAATTGCATTTTCCCTTGCTGAAGTAGAAGATGCATTGACAGAAGCTAAGACTTGCATCTCCAGCAACAGTGACAGGTCTAGTGAGGAATTTGTGGTGGTTAATGTGAACTTATCTCAAAATAATTTATGCTGTTTTAAGTCCAAATCAAAGTATGCCAGCAAGGAAATATTTTTACTATATCAAAGAACAAAAATCAGGTAAAGCAAATGCTGTTGCAAGACACCACCATCACCCATCATCTACTTGTTCTTCTCCCCCTCCTTCTCTTTTGCTTTAGAATGCTGGATTTCTGGTACCTCCCAGCATTTCGTGAGACCCACAGACATAATTTCTGCTTCCATTTTTTTTGGAAAATTTTATTTTCATGTAAAAACAAGAAATGTAACAATTGCCAAAAACTCATATACCCTACCCTCCAAAACAAATAAAACTCACAAAACCTATATACAAGCCAAACATTAAAATATCTTATTCAAGGCATGTAATTTCCTAATAGGACATATGAAAAATACTGCGTTTGCTTCTCCCCCCCTCAAGCTGACTTTAAAATAGCAAACATCCAGAAGCTTTTCCATTTTCCCCTTTAATTGGAACACAAATACAGAAGTCTGAAATGCTGACCTATATGGTTTCAAAGACAACCCTTCCCCCCCACCACCCCTATTATGGTAAACTATGAATTTCTAACAACAGGTCCATTTGTTTTCACGTACATGCTCTCTGTCTTTGTAGCAGCTCAGATATGTGTAGCCTTCAGGTTGTATTTACATATAAATGAATTATGTTTTTTTCTAAATCCACACTGTAGCCCACTGAACAAGAAAATCCCTGCATGGAGGATATGTGTGATTTTACATGAAAAAGAATAAATTGCATTACAATCACTTTCTTGCTTGCAGAACTGACATACCAACTGCAGTTGCTGACACATTGCAGTAATACGGATCAGATGTGTCAAGCATAATTTCACTTTTTTCAGTCATTCCAAACTCATAACTCAAGTTCTATTTAACCCTTTTTGCTGAGGCTCAGTATGCCTGTAACCCCACAGGAAAAGAAAAAAACAAACCAACACAAAACAATCTTAACAGCATGTACATTACTTGTGATTATTCCACGGCTTGGGAATGGCGAAAGCTCAGCACACTCTCACTGCAGCTACTGGAGAGAGTAGTGTATCACCACTGATCTTCAATTTACCTATTGTTCAAACCAGTGATTGCCTAAGAACCTAAACAGAAAGGTTACACTTGGATTCCGTAAAACTTCTACTCTAAAATTAAAAAGAAATCTAATTGTTAGCAATGAGAAATTGTGAAGTTAACCCTGGAAACATGAGACTGTTCAGAAGGGAACTAAGCAGAGCATGAAAAGCTCCCTTTGAGGAGAGAGAGGTGAGGTAGCACCTCAATGAAATCCTTTATGACCTCTGTGGAAAAAAACAGGATTTACATGAAAGAACCCTACTGCGGTGGGTGCATCCTTCCCTTTTCTCCCTTTGGCTCTTTGGTCACTGCAGTGCCTGCTCTTCAGACCAGACAGAAATCTGTTACTGAAGGAGATAAACTCCAGAAGTTGTTTTTTCCCAGCCTGCCCAAAAGCGCTAAGTACTTGCTAAAATGTGCAGCCCATTCAGAGGCCAAGCTGGAGCTGGCAGCTGCTCCCCCTGGCACTCAGAGCTGGCAATCTGTTGCTCCCTCCAGCAGCCCTGGGTGTTGTGGCAGGACAGCCTGTCCCCTGGAAAAACAGCCACCTATTTCCTTTTCCCTTCATGTTCACATGTCTCACTACTGTGCTGCTGCACCAGAAGAGTAGATGAGTGGTCCAGCTCATCACCACAGCATCATCTCATCACCTACTACTTGTACACAGTGAATTCCCACCACTGGCACTGGAGTCCCACTGCAGGAAGAGACCGGGGGGAAGAGCAAAGACCTGAAGTTGTTTCAGGTGCTTCATTTTATAGAAGCACAAAAATTTCATTTTAAAGAAGCACACTCTGTTCTCATCAGAGTGTGACAAATAAATATTGAATTTGCTTCATTACAGGCTAAAAAAATCCAGTCAGCCTGGAAATACAGCATGGACTCTGCTGAGTAACAGTACTGTTACACCACCAAAGAGAGTGTATGCAAGAGGCCCCAAGCGCCAAAGATAATGTAGAACATCCTCATCGCACTGAAGACAAATGAAACTACCTAATGTATTAAGGTGTTTAGAGTGGAAAAAGTAGAGTCATTACAGACTAAGCAGGATAGTGTTTAATGAAGCAGTGCCTCTTCTAAAGGCCTAACTAAGTAAATGAATATAGAGAGGAAAAAACTCGCAGTGTTTGAAGTTGTTAGATAGAGCAAATACAAGTTAAAACCTGCAATTAACAACCCAGTCAACAAAACTTGTCTGAATAAGAACAAGGCTCAGCAAATTCCCAGTAAATTAACCAGAAGAAACACAATGGGACCAAGCATCAGTCAGGGCAAACAGAGCTTTGTTTGCTTCAGAATATCCGATCTAAGGGATCTCTGAGGTTTAGGTTTCCACAATAAATGTAGAGCAAGAACTTTACTTCTAGTGACTGCAAGAAAAGAATAGAAAACTAGGATTCACACATTTCTAACGCCAATAGGAAGAGCTGTGGCTTCTTGAGCTATATTGAATTTCCTCTTGCTTGGAACACAATAAATAAAGAAGGTGTCAAAGCTGGAACAAACACAAGAGAGATATACCAGAAAAAACACTAATGACTACCAACAAAGGGATGAAAGACAGAGAATTAAAATAAATATATGAATTAATTATAAATCTACAAATAAAGAAAAAAAAATGTAAAAGTGAACGACGGCACAGGGAAATGACAGCAATACCAGAAGCACTTGTAGCAGTGTGGTATAAAAAGGCTTTTTGTGCATATTTCTAAAATACAAGTACAAACATAGAATACCAAATGCCAAGCCTAAAACTGCAGGGGAATAATACTACAGACAGAAGACTGCACAGAAGAGTTCTTTACAGTCTTGTAATTTAAACAGGTTTCCAAGGCTTCCTCTTCTCAAGCTCCCCCAAGACTATTCACTCAGTGCTAACATCCAACGATGTAGGAAAATGTACAAATCCTGAAATCCTCAGGGAAAGCACGTTGCTTTTAATACAGTGTGAGATTTCTACTGAGCTTCAGGCATCAGGTACTTCCAAGTGTTTGTCTTTACTGCAAACAAGGTGCAGAGACTGTTACCTTAGTTCCTGAATGCAACACTACTAAATTATCTATTTGAATAATAACTTCTCCCCACAAGAAACTACTGATGTAAGGAAGCATTTGTGCCTCCAACTACCAACATGGAAAAAGGCCCCACAGACTCAACAAAGTCACACAGAAAATCCAGGACAAGATTGCCTGCAATATTACTTTATGCTGTTTTGTCTTCAGAGAAAGATATAGGAAGATAGGAAATCCTATAACTATCACAAAGAACAGCCGAAAAATGACACAGGCTGAGATGTTTTCCTGTTTAGGGAAATACTAAGACAACAAAAGATGCATGAAAAGACAATCAATCATATGTGTTAAAGATGTCTGACTCGGGGAAGGGGTTTTCTGCTGTGGTGTTGAGACTTTCAGAGTCCACATGGCAGCTTTGGTCATCACCCAAGTACTCGCACATCTCCTGCCTCCATAAAAGAGAATGCAGCAGCTACCAAATCCTCACACTTGAAGGACAGCCACTGCTCTCAGAGGACTCAAAAGCAGAGACTACAACCAGCCTTGAGAGTTATTCTGCCTATAGTATTTTGAACACGCCCACACACACAACCCCCTCAGCCCCCAGGTGAAATCAGTGGAGCCACTTGTTGATGACACTCTTCCTGCAAATTTGTATCTTTCAGGTGCCAGAGAGGGATTTACTTCCTATTTGTTCAGCAGATGCCCTCTCTATGCATTGTGTATCTACATTTTAGCAGGGTTCCTTCAAAGATTACTTTCTAGCACTATAAAAATTACCTGTGACAGTAAAATATCTTTGTTCAAGTTGTTCCAGTAGGACAACACTTCTACTTGGAATTTCACCTGCCTTCTCAGGCAGTGTCAGGTGAACTCCCAAACATTTCTGTTGAGGAAAAATCAAGACCATTGTCCTTCTCCTGACAGCTCTTCATCAAGCAAGATCTCACATGATAAGGACAAAACCACAACCTAATGTATTTAATATAAATGTTTTTATGGGAAGATTCCTGTTGTAAATCACAGAATGAGGGCCACAAATTAAGTCTTTAGAAACAGGATCACACACGTACGTGCCAACACAAGAGCCCCCAGACTCACACACAGCATCCTCACTCGTTTTGCCTGCTTGCCAAACACTGATGGGAAGAATAAGCAGCAGATCTCTGCTCCCAGTACCACACTGGCCTTCCCCAGATCACAGGCTGTAAAGACTCCTCAGTGACAAGAGACTCGAGAGACTATTTAATTTTTGTTGTTATAATTCACAAACAAGTAAAAATGGGAAAATGGAAAAAGATCTCATCCTAAAAGCATCTTCATTCCATTAGCTGACAAACGCAGGGATTGTGCAGAACACACCCTCCTAGCAGTAACAACTGGCTAAATACTGCAGATATTTTGGAAGACATTCTTTTGCTCTTTCTTTGGGATACAATATCATGGAATGCCAAGGAAAAAAACCCTGAAAGTGCTGTGGCAT